CTTGGATTACAACAACAGAAATTTTTCTCCCTTCCTCCACCCTGACCTTCCATAATCAGTCCCCAACACAGTATCCCAAATTGTCTTTTTACATGCTGAATAATGTCTTCTGCGGAAGAAACCCTGGAAATATTTCCTTTCTCACATAAAGGAAAAGCCAAAGTCCTTAACATGACACTATACAAACTTATCTCTCTAACCACATGAGTGGTCAAAAAAGTTCTTGGAAATGTATGCTCTGAAAAACTGCATGGATTTAAAAAAAATTTTGCACCAAAATAAACATCTTTAATTCTATTTTCCCACACACATTTTTGAAATACCCTCACCTTTTTTATTCTTTTTCTTACTGCATGCCAGACACAATGAGCTTCTTGCTAGTTCTTCTGAACCCTAGGCACATTCTTGTCTTCATTACTTGATGTCCCCTTTGCCAGGTAAGCTCTCTCCAAGATATCTAACTTCCTTACTTTCTTGCCACCTTCAGTTGTTCGCTCAGATATCACCTCCTCAGAGTTTCCTAAGTACCTATTTAAATTCCAATACTCTTCCTCATTTCACAGACATTTGCAATCTCATTTTCCCTCCTTATTGATATTTATAGCATATACAGTATTACCACATGATGTTACTGTTTTGGGGCATAGGAATATATTCTATTTGCCTATCAGATGGTAATAGTTACTGAATTAATCAATTCATCAACAGTTTTTATGATTAAGAACAGGCTACTTCAGAAGCTTATAATGGGTGAACTTGGCATAGTTACAAAAGTAGAAGAGAACATTTAAAAAAATGAATCTTTAGCTATATTTTGAATAATAGAGGCATCATCTGGCAGACCAGAGAAGAAAATAAGATTCTAGGTATTAAGGACAGCATGAACAGAGTGTCTTGCGGTGGGAAGGAAAACCCATCTTGCAAGGGTAAAGACTAGAATAAATTCAAAGTGGCTTGACTTAGAGAATTAAACTGGTGATATGACAGGTAATGAGATGACAAGAGCCAAACCACAAAGGACTTTGTAGACCACATTTCAGGATTTATTTGAAGAGCAATGGGAAGTTATCAATGATTAGAATAGAATCACATAAATGTGTGTGTGTGTGTGTGTGTTTTAAAAGATCTATTCAGACTGTAGTTTAGAAAATATATTCAGGATAGAGAAGAATCAATGGAAAAAGAATATTGTGATAGCTACTAAAGTAATCTCCATGCTAAATGAAACCATTTGTGGCTAAGATGGTGACATATCAGGTCTTTGAGCCCATCTTCTTTTTCTTCCATTCCACTCCAATGTCTTTGCGCTTATTAATTCATCCTCGGGTTTCCTATAACAAGAGCACACAGGCCTTGCCCCCTCCTCTCATCTGGGGAGAATTTGAAATGAAAGAGCTTCACTCTACCATTTCCAGCCATTCCTCCACAAAATGCCTGCTCCATTCACAACAAATGTTTTCTATGAGTTTTATTTATTTGTACGCTTATTTCAGTCATTTGATTATCAGGGTGTTAGAAAATGTGTCAAGAGTCACGTTTGTTCACCTTATATACCCAGTAGCTGACACACTGATGATACACAATAATATCTATTGAATAAATGAGAAACTAAATCGATTTCTGGTCAGAAAACACAAAAAGAAAATGACAATATTCTCTCATTGCTGCTCTGTAAATGCCAGGAATTCCTTTGAGGTAAAGATTTTTTTTTCTCATTTTTATTTATTGAGGGAAAGTTCCATCCACACTTTCATTGTCCAAATGGCTGCCTACAATGGCTATGGCAGGGCTAGGTTGAAGGTGGGAACCGGGAACTCAATCCAGGTCATCCATATGGATAGTAGAAACACAACTACTTGAGCTATCACTGTTACCTCTCAGGGTCTGCATTAGCAGAAATATGGAATCAGTAGTCAGGGTCAGGTACTGAAATCAGACACTTTGAAATGTTATACAGGCATCTTGACATTTTAACCACTAGGCTAACTGCCTATCCCATAAAAACCTTTTTTATATAGTCAAAGTATAGAAGCTACAGATTATTATATATTAATAGTTGGATGTGCACTCGACATTCAAATAGCTCAACAGAATAAGAATATATCTCACATGTTCAAATTATATAAATATAAATAACTCATTTGGGGAGCAAATTGTACACATAATTTTCAGCACAGTTCTTTAAGTGATTGAAAGTAGGACACAGTGAACTAAAGTAATAATTCACTAAAGAGCACCTTTAAAGCCTAAAGAGTCTAGGTAGCTTCCCAAAATTCTCTGATTTCAGAGAATAAGGTAAACATTATAGATACTGAATCATCAAATTTAATTGCAACCATATAATAGTGATAGAATACTTTACAATAAAGATTTCTAATAACCTATGCTGATCCTTTGCTATTCTGGGGCATGTCCTAAACTCTGTTGAATAAAATACACACACACACACACACACACAGACTGACTTATCTACACACAACACACACTTGTGTATGTTTGTGGATATAATTAGATACACATACCTTAATTCAAACTAATGTAATTAAATAAAATTATAAGGCAAGTCACAGAAAGATGAAAAAATTTCCTAAGAGATACAATGAGTAAGAATTTTCAGCTGCATATTTTATGATAAATTAAAGGTTAACTGGTACAATTTAAATGATGTTCTTTTCAAACTTCCCCTCTGATTGTACAGGTTTCCATTATATAGAATACTATTCAGAAAAATTGCAAACAGAAAAGTATGATTCAAGCCAGGCAACAAGACTTCCTACTATCTGTTAAAGATATCATATAACTCAGTTCTATATTAGAAATGTTTTAAACTTGGGTTAGATACTTGGGTAAGAGTAGCTCTTGAAAATAGTGTTCATGATGGGGGGAGGGGTAGGCAGTTGGCCTGGCAATTAAGAAGCCTGTATCCAGAGGCCAGCATAGTGGTGAAGCTGGTAAAGCCACAGTCTGTTATGTTGGAGTCCCAAATGGGCATTGGTTCAAATCCCAGCTGCTCCACTTCTGGTCCAGTTCCCTGCTAATGGCCTGGGAAAAGCAGTGGAAGATGGCCCAAGTGTTTGGGATGCTGCCACCCAGGTGAGAGACCTGGATGAAACTCCTGGTTTTGGCCTGGCCCACCATAGGTCATTGCAGCCATCTGGGGAGTGAACCAGCAGATGGAGGGTCTCTCTCTCTCTCTCTCTCTCTCTCTCTCTCTCTCTCTCTAACTCTGACTTTCAGAAATAAATAAATAAATAAAAAGTGCCTGAGTTCAATGGCTGGCTCTGGCTCTTGACTCCAGTTTCCTCCTAAGGCAGAACTTAGGTGCTTCAAGTGATTAAATTCCTGCCACCCACATGGGAGACCTGGCAAGCGGTCATTGAAGGCATCTGGAGAGTTAATCAGCAAATGGTAACTCCCTTCTCTCTTTGCTTTTCAAATAAATAAATAAGTAAACAAACAAAATTGTTGGGATCTTGGAAGGAGATGTGTATTCTGCTTCTAGTTTGTAAAATTATAAAACTTTTAGCCAGAATTAGTTTTGTCACAAGTACTATCTGGTAAATAATACAAAGATTTGAAATTAAGAAAAATTGACTTGAAAACTGGATAAAAATATGAATTGTAAAGTTCAGAATGATAGATTTTATGCCAAGATATTAGAATAAAATATTAGAAAAAATGCAAATAAGCAAAACTTTCATCTATAACCATGTTATTTATGTGCTGTATTTAGTAAATAAAACCTTAAGTTTATGCTCATTGTGTATACTTCAATAACTTTTTCTTCATAAAAAGACACAAAATAAAGATGGATGAAAAAGTGCAAAGCAGTATCACCATAAAACAGACACAAATGAACAACTTTCACCAATAAAAATGCAAGAAAACACATTCTTGTGCAGAAACCACATGAAATGATTTTGTGGCTCAATGTCTAAACACATTATGGAAATACCCCACCCCACCTTTTTGGTTAACTCAAACTCTGTTAAGGAATTGTCCCCTTATCATTACATATGAATCTTCAAGTATTTTTATCCTTGATGGTTTCAGTAAGAGTATTACCTATGATAATCCAATTTAGTATATTATCATGCAGTTATATTAAAGAAATATAGCAACTTACCTGAAAAATTGATGAGTATTCAAGAGCTCCCATAATTCAAGTAGCCTAACTCTTTCTTTTCAGCCTATAATAATCCAATTCTGCTGCCCTAACCCAGATACTTTAAGACTATGATATTCTACCAACAGAATACAAGCCAATATTTTATAAATGTGTAAAAATCTTCTAATATGCTGCTGTATGGACGTGAACTCTTCCAACTATATGAGGTTCTATGATCATAACTATATTAAGAATCTCTAAAATATAAAAAAAAATTCCTACATTTTTCTTATACTTTATAAACCAAGAAAAAGACTTTGTACTATGAAGTAGTGAAATAAGAGTTAAGCACATTCACCACCAACTAATAGGAAACACAATGTGGACCACAATATTCCATAATTTAGAAAAGCAACACAATAAAAATTTCATCTCAGGCTACTGCTTAGAGTAGCTTAAGAAAAACTCCCTTCATGCACATTAATGATCTCAAGTGTCATCACCAGTTATTTCATTCATGGAACAAGGAATGCATAGGATGTTATCTCCTGATGCACTTAAAATGGAGAAAAAAGAAGAAATGTTTGGGTGTATTCAGTTCTTCCTCTGCTTAGGAAGCCTTCTACTTTTGCAGTAAAATATATATTGATTAGAAACATACAAGGAATCATGTTCTTTTTTTCTACCTTTATAAAAAAAAACTTATAAGAAAAACAAAAATGAACATCACTGGTATATTTTATGAGATTTATACACAGCATTCATTCAACTGACATAAGGGTAAGTGTAGATTTCTAAACTTCTTTCATCACATATAAAATTATATTTTCTGGATCATATGTTTATTACTTAAAATCCCACAAATAAAAATTTGTCCATGGAAAAATAGAGATATTTTGAATACTAAAGTCCTTTATTCAACAACACAGAAATTTCACAAAAACAACTTTACTGGGCAAATTGAATGTGATTTTTTTAAGTTTTTTTTTTTACAGTTTTGTACATGCCCCATAAGTGATTTCCTTTAATAAATACACTGTTTTCCAAAACTGCTTTTTTAAATAATTGCACAAGCATACATACACCTTACACAAATATCTATTAGAAAATTTAATAGATAACTGCACAGTTCAGAATAGGAGAACACTGTGAAAGGAGTACATTTTGTGGCCCATGTTCCTGAAATACCTCTGACTATTTTGCAATTGTGAAAGTGGAATCCCTACTAACATGGTAGCTGTCTTTTATTCACTAGGAATACAGATCTCAGTGTGAAATGCCAAATTTAATAAAAACAAATTCTGAAACATTTAGCTGTTACATGAGAACCAACTGTTTGATATCACTGTGAATCTAACTATGATCAAAGACCCACTGCAGCTTTTTGCTGAACATATTTGACCCTCAATAGTGTGTTCATTTAACTGCCTTCCTTTTCTCATTATTTGATTACAGATACTATCAGCTTAAAGACTTTATATGCTTTAGCATTAATTGCACAACTTACATGCCAGGGGTCTGAGTGAAAGGAAGAGAATATTCTTTTCTTATAATTGCTTAATACTAATTCATAGTGAGCCTACCATTGCTTGCTTTCAATGTGTTTAGAATAAGGATGTTGAGTGTTTGAGGTTAAGCAACCAGGACACATTTTTTACACTCTTAATTATTGGTGACTATATTCTCTCCCAAGGATCAATCCATTGTTTCTTTACAAGATGGCCTCTGATTGTACCAGATGAACAGAGTCCATCAGAAAGACCCTTGGTCTGAAGGGCTGGAGAGAGGTTAGCCTTATGATGTCCCTATATTGTTAGGGTATTGAATGACAACTGGGAAGAACATTGGTTCACTGTACAATGTTCCAAGGCCTCAGTGTTTTCCAAGCTCTCCCCAAACACTAGCAGGGTCACACCTGGAGAAGACAAGACACTGTCTACAGTGGACTCCTCTTACAAAAGCTCTTACCCAGTTTATATGACACTTAAGTAAGTTGTACAGACAGTACACACAATCCATGTTACAACTGCTATATTCTGGGTATTCTTGACACTGAATATGAAAAACACAGTGAGAAATTTTTAGAAGCTACATTTCATTGGCATTTTAGAGTCATGAAAAATGTGAATCTTCAAATCATTGCCTACAGGTTACCATGATCTGTTTTGCAAGATCTTGGTACATAAACACATGGAGAAGAAAACTAGAGGGAGGCCAGAGGAGCAGTGTCTTTCTTCAGCATCACCAATGAGAACTGTATATGCACCCTACATTACATAATTAGAGTTTGAACCAAAACACAAAAGTGGATGGTGTAAAAGAACACTATCAAGAATAAAAGCATAAGGTAATTAAAGAAAAGCTACTCCTTTCCATTTCAGTAATTAACATATTTTCTTTCATTAAAAAATGAATTGACGTGTAAAACACCACATCTTACAATATACAGATTCATCAGTTCTATAAGAAAGCAAACAAAACATATCAAAACATGTAACACGAGAATGTATTTTAGACTCTGAGTGAATTGTTACGAGATCTTTGTTACTGTATATCTAATATAGCCTGAACAAGAGTTTGTTTCACTTCTGGAGTAATTATCTTTTTACAAAAAGCAAGGCAAGTTTACCATTCAAGTGTGAAAATAAGTTGTAAGTGATTAGCAAATTGGCGAACAAAAAGTTAACATAAAATATAATAAAATAAAAATGAACAAGAACGAACTCATCTAGCTCTCATTGGTCCCACAGCAGAAATAGAAATTCTAACTGGAAAGCCTCACAGGAACATATAACAAGTAAAAGGCTATCTCAAAATTAATATACAGCATGTTTTGGCCTGTAATCACTTAATTCTTGTCTCCAAACATTGACAGATATAATATATCATGATTTTTCCTGAAGAAAAGCTTTTTGACCATAACTAAAGACCACGTGTTCATACTCCAGGCAAGTCAAGTCTCATTTACTTTTCACACTGGCATTTGTAAGTGCCTTATTCACCCCTTCCCCTAATACTCTAATGATGAAGTGCCCCTTCTGTGTTTTTAATCATCTTTTCTGTCATATTATTTCCCAGTCAAAACTACAATTAGATTTTCAAAAATATTCACCTGCTAGTCTTTCCAAAACTTTACACTTTAAACTTTACACTGCTCTATCATTCTTTCTTAAGTTATTTTTCTTCTCACGATCCATTTTGCTAACATGTTTCAGGACACTAATGGATGTAGTAGGCTAAAATAACTAGCTAGTGGATAAAGAATAAAATATTGCCAAAACATGGCAACTTTGATATTCTGTGTATTTTTGGCAAACTATGTTTTATTACTGAAACTTAAAAAAAAAAACTTTGTAATCTGGCAAAAAAGGGAAAAAAAAAAAAACAAGTAATATTTGTCCTAATTAGACAGTCTTAAGAAGACTTACTAGCATAAGAAAACCAAATCCTGCATGAAAAAGTAGCACACATCCTATGAAGCATTAGTTCTTTTGTGTGTGTATGTGGTGGGGGTGGGGAGAGGGCTGTTTGTATTTGTGGATTCCAGAGACTGTGGCCCTGGTCTTTTTGGAAGTGAAAGCATGGAGAAACAAGGACAGGAATGGGAGCAATGGAGCATTCCATTGAGAGACCAAAGGAAGGCCACTAGTCCAGCTGGAAGAAAGGAAGACAAAAAGAGAGAAAACGCTTCACTTTTATGAATGTGTTTAACTCATTTTGACTGAAAAATATACCCAGCTATGCCTCAAGTCAGGAGGCCTTCAATGTATTCAAGCGTTAAAACTACCCATTTGATAATTAAAACATTTGGTTATTCTTTATTTTTATTTGTCCTACCAAAAATAAAAGCAAAAAATAAAACAAGAAACAAAAAAATTATACAGCCACTGTTTGGCTGGGCAAAATGTCAGACACAGATTTCTCCCCCTAAAATCTGGTACTTTATTCATTAGCCTATAAAATACTGCTTTAAAAAAATTATACAACTGATTCTGCATTTTCCAACTACTCTGAGTACTCCGCCTTACAGTGCAACCCAAGACAAGTCAACTACACTAAGTATTTGGGAGGTATACCCTTCTGTACAGCTCGTTTGTAAGCAATGCAAGTGCATAACCACTACTCTAATATAGTGCTCAAAAGATTAATTGAAACTTTCATAACATCTTCCCCTCTTATAACAATACAACTGAAGGTAATTGCTGGATGCATCACAATCTTTGAGTCTTGTAAAACTTGGCATCAAGTCTCTATGGAAAGATGCATGGCAAAACAGTGCCAGTGCTGTTGCTGCTTCTAGAAACAACTGGCAAAAAATATTTAAAGCTAAAATTTATTGCTCCAGATTTAACTCGCAAAACCATACTGTTGTGTACAAACTGTTAATCTCCATAGATGCTCAGACATGATTGTCTCTTTGTGTCTAAACACACAAAATACAAGCTGCTATCTGTACAGTTTACAGTACTGAAACACATATATTTGAAAATGAAGTATAGATATGTACTTTGCAAAGATACATGATTTTACAGCAGGGGTTTACCCAAACTTATTTTTTACAGCCACGTTCAAAATAGACAACAACTTCACTAGTATCGCTAAGTTACATCAAAGAAAGAATCAGTGTATTGAAAGTAAATAGACTGGCCAATTCCCCAAGCTCCCACATTATTTTTATGTATCTTTTTTCTTTTCTTTTCCTTTTTTTTTTTTTGAAGAAACCCCTATACATAAAATGAAAATAATATCTGGATATTTTCTTCAGTGGTGGACTAAGCAGTTTCTTAAAACAAGACATTAATTTGCCCTTCATTTCCAAATGCCTTGAAAATAAGATTTACTACTGCTTTAAAAGAACCATCGGAATGCTTCAGCGCTGGGAACAGGTGTTCTCTATAAAAAAAAGAGCAAGAAAACAAGTTAAGCTTTCTTTCTATGCCAATATAAAATTAGATTTTTCTCCTTTACACTTCAGCAATATTTTTAGTCACCAATATATAACATAATGACTTGTATGTTGCAACATCTAATAAAGAAAAAATATTTAATCATAGAACATTATAAAAATTGGAATAGCAAATTTAATTTCAATTTAACTGATTATAATGATTAGAACGTATTGGTCTTGAAAATATAGGAAGAACAGTTTGGGACATTTACTGCAATCATAATAAAAGAAAGGTTCAAGCTATGAACCAATAACAGGAAGACTGACTAGCACATGCACTTGAAATCTGTATCTAGTTTGCAGGATAATTCTATGATTTTGAGTGGATCATCTTAGTGTAAAGATAAGATTCACATAGGTGGTACAATCACATCATGGAAAAGGAAAGGATTCATTTTTGCCAGCTAATTTTCTACATTAATCAATTTTCACAATATATCCTCATTTATTTATCTTCCTATTCCAAAAGGTATAATAATCCATGCACATTTTCGATGTGAGATATATAAGCATTGTATACAATTAAAATGACTATGATTCAATTACTCTGCCTCCAATCACACTAACAAAACTGCAATCAAAAAATAAAATGTACACCACTGCTTTTATGTACAAAATCACAGCATATGAATACATATGCAACCTATGTAAGGCTGATGCTTAAAATTCATTGAAGTAATTTCTGTATTTTGGAGAGCTTTTTTATGAAAGGACAACAATAAAGATCACATAAGTATTACCTTTATCAGTCATCAATTTTTAGCTATAAAGCATACACTTATATATAATCTAAAGAAATCTTCTCACAAAAGATATCACTATTTTAAGCGGAGTGAGTCTGTATTTTCAACAAAATAATATGCTTGAAGCAAACTCTACTAACCAGTGACACTCAGTGAAATGTAACTATCTCTTGTACCTCAAAAACACTGAAAGTGGTTTTCCAAAGGAGTATTACACTATCACAAAAAAATGAACAAACCTTTAACCAAAAAACTTAATGTGACTATGAAGTTTCTGTTAGATAAATGGTAGATAAGCTTGAATTTTCCTCTGTGTGTGACAGTTACAGTAACTCATCATGCCAGGTCCTTCTGTAACATGCTTCATTTGTTCTATTGCATATATTCTGATGGTTCACACAAAGCAATCACATAAAACAAGCTCATAAAACAAGCTAAGAATAAATTTTCCTATAGGTGTAAAAGAAAGAGTGTTGACTTTATTCCTTAAACCAGTCCAACAAGATACATAAATTATAAAATGGCTGGTAAGGATAAATAAGTATACCCCCTTGTACAAAAATGAATATTGCCAGAATATTGAGTATATATACAAAAACATACACACACACACAAACACAAACACATCCCCACACACAATTCTTATAAATACTTCTTAAAACAATGTTAATAGCACTTGAATTTTGTATTTCAGAAAATACAGGAAAAATTCTACTATAAATAATAATTGAAACTAGCTTTTATTTATTTATACCTCATTTACTTGGTCCACATTATCCTACCGTAATATCATTTAAAATAAGTATATTAATTTAATAATATGTTAATTAGAAATTTAAGTAAATAAAATAAGTATTTTGGAAAGCAAACCTACCTTTCACTATTAAAAAGAATTTTTGAAAACTGTCTTCACAACCAACACAATAAATTTCAATATGAGCACATTTAGAACAAATAAATGATATACTATAACTTATCTAAGTTTGTATCTTTCTTTTCTTCTTTATCTTCTTTGGTGTGTGCATATATATATATATACATATATATAACTACATACATATAACTTGTAAAAGTATTTTCTAAAATCACAATTCCACTCTTCTAATAAATGTAGTACTGATACTATTTTTTAACTCCTTACCCCTTATGGTTTAATTGGTATTTTCCTTTTCAGCCCACCATACATACCTGGATCCCCACTATTTGATAATGTTAGTGAAGAAAACCCTTTTACTATTTTCTAACACTAACTTCTCAATGATAAACATAATTACTACATATACTGATTACTGATTATTTAGTTCTTATTAAAATAACTAAATGAAGTAATAAGAAACAAGACATACCCATTCTAATAGTCATGCTTTACATACACACACAGAGTAAATGAAAACTTAAAAGTTTGCACCAGATGCTAACTTGCTGACTTATGCCAATTAAGAACAAATTTTATATAAGTATGCAAACTTATATAAATGTAGTCATTTTAACGAGATAAGTTAGATCCAAGCATATCTATGCAATTATAGATCTATGGTTACATATATACATATGAAAAACAAACATGTGCATATATATCCATATATTCACATTTATGTGTATATGTATGACACAGAGCTGCCAACTTACTCTCAGATGCCAACTGGAAACAAGATTATAAATATACACTTATGTAATATTGTATCTTGATAAACATGTTTATGAAAACAGAAAAAGTACATGAAGAACATTTTTAAAATGAAATGAAATCCTCAACGCATCTTAGGTACACATTTAAATCTCTTTTCCAACTTTTTGCTCCTCCTGTACTGTTTTACAGTACTCAATTTTATTTGAAAGATTTAGAAAAGGCAAGCCTAGATAATGCTACGTAGAATGAAGGATCATTGCGATGAGGAAAAAGCTGATGGCTTCCCAAGGTGTGTTAGCACTAATGTAAACAGAAGAAAAGCAGAGCACAGCTTTTCTTTTCTTAAAATTTTTATTAATTTATTTTTATTTATATGAAAAGCATAGAGACAGAGACAGGCATGAAAAGAGAGTTCTTCTATATATTTATTCACTCCCACAACAGCTTGGGCTGGAACCAGCTGAAGGCAGGAACCTAGAATTCCAAACTGATATCTCATGGGGGTAGCAGGGACCCAAGTACATGAGCAATCCTCCTGGTACAGGTTTTCTGTACTAACATCATCTGTTCACAAAACAGCACTGAGATACTATTTTGTGATATTACTGTGCATACAATATTGTAGACCAACCTGTATCTCTAGATACAAAGATATGGACAATTTATTGTAGAGGAAGTGAAAAAATAAGCAAGAACCCATCTTTTAAAAATTATTTCTTCTTTATATTCAAATTCTTGGGATCATAAAACCTATAAATGATTAGTTGGTAAATCGATTAGAGTAAAATATGTAGGAAAATTAGGAAAACCACTGGTTTATTAAATAAAACAAATAAATAAGGCATTCACCAGAAATTTTCAGTAAAGGTTTCTCTAACAGGTCTATATTATTTCAGAATATAAAAAGTAACAAAATTCTTTAGAACACGTATATCCAACCGCCTGTGAAATTTTCAGTAGATTCATTGGAAATTCACTTTTGGTTAAACTGGGTAAAGCAACATTGTTTTAATAGGGAAAATACTGGGTTAAATTATAGCTTTCTGATTAAGTCTGTACTAATTCGGAAACGAATCTTCCTTAATTTTGTAAACTGAGGGTCATCTTGTAAGAGGACTTCTATTTTAAGTGGGGTAAGAGTTCAGCACACCAGCACCAGGGATTAAGGACTCTGACCAGACACCTTTGGATATATAAATTCTAAGTCCCAGTTGGGGAATCAACACTCTTGTTGAGATTAATGTGACTTTCTGGATCTCAGTGTTGATGGCAAAGGATTCTTGTCCTGAAAGGCATGAAAGCCAGATTCCACTGGAAGAGAAGGGGGCGGGGAGGTAAAGAATCTGGTTGAGCTGATCAGCATTGTGTAAGGCAGCCTTCAGTGCTCATGCAGGTGCAGACACTGACAAACAGCAGCCTTGCTCCCAGGAGACCTGGAGAAACCTGTAGTCCCATTCTCTTTTCTCCAGTGCTGTAAAACATGTGCTCCACTGAATTCATCCCTTCACACACAGATACACAATGACCTTCAAGCTTCAAGGAAAGTTTTCTGCTTTTCCCCTAAATAACTTTTAAAAGCAAGGGAACTTCCCTAAATAGAAGAATGAACAATCAAAGCCAAGTACATTTTACATTTATTTTTTTCTTAAAAAAAAGTAAATTAAAAAATTATTGATGTCTCTGATAGAAATATATTTGAGTTTGGTTTTCATTGAACGAGCATGAAGAAAGAATTAATCAACTGAAAATAATTAGGAATCCCAAAAGCTGCCACTTTAAGAACCTGGGCATGTTTCTCTGTTTTGGCACCAGCTTCAGTAGTCATGCGGACTGTACAATCTTCAGGTCGAGGATGCATCTACATATTCTTCTTGGAAATATGTCAAGTCTAATAGAAATTCAGCTCCTAAAATCTGGAAATGAGGCATGTAAATCTGTTCATATAAGGACATGTGAATTAGCCATTCTTAGGGAGATAAAGCTTACAAAATGCAGCAGTGTGCACTACACTATACTTAAAAATATTCAGCTTTTAACAAAGCTAGACTGAGATTTCAAGAGCAAATTAAAAATAACCTTTGATGCTAAAATTATACTTCATAATGCATAAAACTTTAAGATAATGATTATGACACTAAAAATTCCTATAACTAAGGTTAAATGCATCTTTACATAATTTACTCACACATTTCTAATCCAAACCTTCCAGTTACTCACCAACCCTTCAGAATTCTGCTGTGAGACAGGATGACTCTAATACAATGATTTCCAAGTGGAAGTCAGTGTTTTAGAATATTTTTATTCCTGTATAAAATTAATTTCTTATTTTCCCACTCATTATTAAAAAATGCAAGTTATTAAATCATTTACAGATTTCTATCTAAGATTGTGAAGTATGCTTTTTTTACAACCAAAATCAAAGCAATTTCCAGCTGGAGTTATTCAGTACAGTTTCCTTGGTAAAACTTTTTGAAATACCATTTTCACTGTGAAGAATCACACTGCAAGTTTCCTAGAATCCTGCGCATCTAAGATCTTGAAACTGGAAACCCGGACTGTATTTGAGTCTACC